ATCGAGTTTAATTACACCAAATTGAGTATTAAACATGATCACCAGCTTCATATTTCTCGAATATCATATCCTTTTCAACGATAGTGTCATTTATATTTAGTCCCAGGGTTCTACACTTTTTCTGGGATACCATTGCATTGACTGTTATTGGGCAAGAACAGCATGTCTGACAACTTTAAAAATTGTGGTCCTCGTCTAGTTGACATCGGACATAAGATCTCATTTGGGAAGTGCGAGTCTACGAAAGTGGGATTCCGAATATGAAATGGAGACTCAACGTGAGAGACAACGTCAGGGTCTGAAGATCCCCGAAATGTTTGGAGAGAGGGCACGAGATCCTGTTTCAATGAAGGAGGAGGAGAGAAGTGACTTTTGAGAGGACGAATTTGATCCCAAAGTGAGAGCAAGAGTCTAAGAGCTTTTCATTTTAAAATTTGTCAAAAAGCTAAAGAGTGACAAGAGTTCATTTAAAAAAGAAAACTCTATTCATACACTTGAAAATTAGTTAATTTGGTGTATGTGGCATACGGCAATGCTGTGTTAGTATGAATTTGATATTTCATCCGGTTTGACCATATTGTGGTTGGTGCATAAGCCTTGTCCACATCAACTTCCCCCTACTCGCCTACTCCCCTCATCTACAAACCCTCGTTTGTGACTTAACTTATAAAGCTCGACATCATTTTGCACAGACGACTAAAGACCAAGTTCAGTTGTCTCGGTGCGTATATATGCAATATAATATGCAAGTACAACAAGCCTAACTACGAAAAGCGTGTTAAACGATGTACCTTCTTCAATTAGCTCGAGCATCGCATGGCATAGAGTTGGGTATGGCGCAACTTAGATCACAGCGGAAAGCCGACGATTTGAACGGATTAGGTCTGCGAGTCGGACTGTGAGAGAAATGTAAGCATTTCAAATTGCCACAAGCTTTCCCTCTCATTAGTCTCTGCGTTGCGCGTACGTGACAACAGATTCACAATAGACTTGTTCTCGACTTTCGGCGTTATTGCTTCTTAAGAACCAGATCATCGACAAAGCACTGTGAGATCAATTACACATTTGATTTATCCCCTGTCCTCTGTATAGAAAGTAATTTGTTCATCACGAAGTAGACATGATGTTGCCAGGTGGATTTGACGTCAGTACCCCAGCATGCGCAATAAGTATACTGATGTCAATAATATCAATCTGGTTGCGAAAGCGGCCTCTCTCCCGCGTTTTTCGTGGGGTCCTTGTATGCTGAGGAGGGGAGTATGGTATGGTTTGGGGGGGGGGGGGGCTTGGTGGGGTGAGACCTCCCTCCATGGACAGATCTTAATCGATGCACACAGACTTCATTCAGCCTGAAGCTTCATGCCCATGATGCCATCCATGATTGTTGATCATGCTTCTAGACATGCAGCGATTTCAAGAGCGATGTGACATTTCACTACTATCAAAGTGACATTATAGCTGGTAACAAACCTAGGTACTTCCATTTGATATCATGTTTCTTCATTCGTCACATATATCTCGGACCGATGGTTTCCCAAAAGTGTGTGCTTAACACTTTCACGCCCGTTCGTCTCAAGTGTTTCGAGAGGAGTGATTGGCTGTTTCGGCTCTCAAGGGAAGTGGTCGTTAGTTGATGGATCTTACCGTTAGCACTTGGACGCACACTTCCTTCCTAGAACCATACATCCGGAGCGGGATTGCGGTAATAAGTCTAACTGTGTATAGCAAATAGACCGATTTGAACTTCCGAAAGCTCCCGACAGTTCAAGTCGCAATAAAATAATACGGAATTGCCCGAACTAGACCCATTTCTTATGCTACTTCTCAAGCCCAATTGTCAAAACGAAGGGTAGCGAATTTCGATGATTGTCATTATTTTGTTTGGAGACCATCGGCCGAAACCCATCATACATGGATATGCTTAAACGGCTCTCGTGCATATGGAATAATAAACCGGGAAATCCTGAGCAGAAGAGCCTCATGCAATCTAGATCAAAGGACCCTTAATATCAGGGTTGACTTTTGGAGCCCTTCGGCGTAACTGTTTAGTATCTTTCGCGCTTCACGAATGGTGGACGGACGTAGCCGTAGACTCTAAGTATCATTAAAAGCCAGAACGCAAGAAATGCGAATTGGAGCTTTGCATAGATCTTTAAGCGTAGTATAGAGGTTAATTCCACTGTAACATTACCGAAAGTTTCATCGCTTCCTGAGAAATTTGACCTCAGGATAAATTCCGGTTGTCGCGGCTGTAGCGCAATTTCGTGAATCAGTTGTCCAGCTTTCCATGGGCTACCTTGAAACTACTCGACTACCGATACTACCGACGGAAGAATTAAAATGCGAAAATATACCTAGCTTGTTTCCGTGTGGTTTGCACGCGACATTTCACTGACCGTTTGTTAGAAATTAGTACAGTCCCTCGCTGATGGTTCAAAGTGAGTGAGTGGACTTTGCCATCCCCCATTTTGGGGATAGACTTGAGATGGCATGTCCACTCACTTGCAGTTGTTTTGCATGTGAAGAAGATCCATCGTCGGGTTGTCAGGCGTTCAAGTTAGTGCTTTTCTATTTTTTGTCTTCTTTGAGACAGGCACCAGGATTACCTCGTGCTAGACCCACCGAATTCGGAGCGATTGCGGTGTATTGATCGCAAACAGAGTCGTAAATATACTTGAGACTGTACTGAAATGATAGTGTTGTTCATTCTCCGCACCAATCCTAGGAAGTAACTATTGGTAACCTACTTTCAGACTTCAGTATCAAATTAGCGAAACGACTTTGAAAGTTGCCTAGTGATTAGTATATCCTTGCGTGGGGGAGCCGTGAACAAGTTCAAAATGGTGAACAGGCCAGCCCTCAAGGATCTTTTTCTGCACGTTCATGGAGTTACATGTGCTCTGCATTGGATATGCGGGGGCAAAGATGAGCGAGACCTAGGATGCTGGGCACCCTCATACCCTGGGAAACGAATCTAAAGGATTTCGAAATGGCTGAGATAGGATGCGAAACTGGCAAAACCATTGGATGCAGTCGCCAACATGCGTGGGGGTTCAACAATGCAAAGGAAATTCATTCGAACTGCTGCCCTCGCGAGTACAATCTGAAGTAGGAAATGATTTGACATCCACCATACTTGTCAAACTAGTTTTGAAGGCTCGGAGAGGTCGTCCGTTGGATAAATTGAGGAAAGAGATCGATAGAGGAGGAATCGCCGTTGGATGATTAATTTCCGTACAACACTTGGTTTCTTGAATGTGAAGATCGAGCGATGGTCCGATGGAGGATCGAGTTATTGCCTTATTAATGTGACATGTCGATAATGAACTTCGTATATTGCGGTAATTATTGACGGTAGTTGCGGATGTAAGAAGTGTGTATTCGTATTTGCATTGTATATGTGTGCGACGATTGTAACCTTGTGTTTGTGTTTGCTTGGAGAGAAGATGGGGATGGGATGGCGAAAGTTCCTTGATATTTGTTCATCATGTGACCTTCCTTGATTTGAAATCGAAATTCTTCACGAAGTTCGGTCGAAAATTGTCCATCACAAAAACTCGACCATGAAATATGATACTTTTCATTCCAGTGTGAGATGAGGGCACACGACATCTTATATAACCACAACTCTAATCTCATCTGCATCACGCCTTATCTATCTTTCGTCGGTTTCAACATCGGGTCTACAAATGATACCATCCTGCACAATCTAATCAAGACTGACAAGGTATTTCGCATTCCTGGGAAGACTGATTGATTGTATCTTGGCCTCTCATTCGGTTCGCGACAACGCTTGTACCCGTCCCTCAATTCCGCTGATAACATAGCTGCCAGATGGTCATATCGAGATGAGATAAGTGAAGATATGCCATTTTATTTGACCATTTGAGGGTAAATGGGGGAAGGTCGCACAATATCAGAAACGTGGGACCCCAGTAACTCGGGAGATCATTTCCCTCTTATCCTTCAAGATATACACCCTAATAGGCAACTCAACTTTTATACATCAGTTTTCTTAATGCCCTCCATGCTAAGGTGTACAAACACACAAGTTTGAAACCTTAGTCATTTATCCTCATGAACCTTATCTTTTCATCTCAAGTGAGTGTCTGTTCACTCAAACATCTGATAGTTGTCGGATTGTCCAAAGAGAGGAGGAGTTTAAGGCTGTTGGTGAATCAGGAAGCCTCTACCAAGGCTTCGTTCCATCAACTCACCTGTTTTGTTTGTCTTGTTTCCTAATTTGTCCCGTGGATAAAAAGTATCATAGGCGATATGAATTTGATAGGGTATATAAGACTCCAAGCAACATCATCTGTTTGCCTTATCTATGGATGGCACAATATCTTGGAATTTATCTCTTCAAGACGACCGATTCACTCTATTTCCATGGTGACATCCGTTTACTATTTCAATATCATTTGGAGCATCCTTTCAGCAACCCGGTGTCCGATTATTAGCCTAAGGGATTCAAGCCAATACAAAAATTGGCCATTCACAGGTCACACCCTACCGTCTAAAACAACGTCCACAAATGCTCCGATTGATCAGAACTTGTGCCTGCATCTTTGATCATAATCATATCATAAGCAGGTTTCAACAAGCCCCCAATAGCATTATCAGTTGTGAAGTACATCTTCGATATGACGACCGAAAAACCTTCGTGCGATGTTCAATTTGTCTGTTGAAAAGGGAAATGCTTCGTCGATGCTATTTATAACTCTGAACAATAACAATATTTATCGTCGTTACTATAGCTAGTCAAGATTCACCGTCTTTGTTCTTCGCATGATCCCCAAAATAAGTCGTGAATCAAATAATAACTTTGCTTTGTCTTCGCCCATTCACACAGGTCCAACTTCAACATCAAGTTCTTTGATAAATTCAATCAAGTCTAGTCAAGATGGCTTTTGTAATTACCATTAGCGGAAACTATGTTCGCTCATGGCTTCCGATTTAAGAATATTACAGCTTCATACAATACTACATCCTCATACAAGATGGCGACCCTGAACTACTCCTTACGGGTCAACGACGCGGTTTCGAACGCAGCTGGTATCTTAGTATCTGCGCCTCCTAACTATATCGTTTCAGCCGATACTGCTACTATTCCACCGTCGACTGGTAATACCCTTGCTCCTCCTGAGAGTTCGGTAACTCAATCACCATCATACTCGTTCCCAGATCCTAATGTCCTCATTCTCACTACTTTCTCAACAACCACCGTTCCGTATGTAGATCCGGTCATACAAGTTCCTACCCTATCTTCAGACCAACCAGCAACTGAACATGTCGCACCTATCACTTCATCTACATCCGTCTTATTTGGCTTTCCCGTGGTTTCCGCGGCACCAACAAGTACTATAAACATTAGCCCTTCTTCTACAATACTTCCAAATCTCTCACCTACATCATTAACTCCAACTCCGACTCTTACACCATCGTACATCATTCCCACCACTCTTGAAACATTATCTTCCCCTCCATCCCCACAATCAACACAAGCACCTGCGTCTCTCACATCCACCACAACAATTCCCACCAACTCTAACTCTTCAACCAGTCACCTCGGAGCCTACATAGGAGGCGCTTTCGGTGGTGCCGCAGTTATCATCCTTTTTCTCCTCGTCATCTTCTGTCTTGCCCGCCGTCGCAAACGTAGATCCCCCAAACACCATCCCGACCGTCCCGCTTTCATCGGCGGCTACGAATTAAAATTAGATAAAGTAGGAGATTTACAACGTGTGGTCCATGAGAAAATAGTTAGGAGGAATACATTTGAAGCGTGGAAGAGAGGTGTTGTGCCTGGTCTCAAGCATAATACAAATGATATGGCTGGGAAAAGTGAAATCAGTATTAGTGGTGAAACACCCCAAACTGGATATTCAAGTCCGCTAGGAGAGGTTGCAGAAAGTGCAATTTCGCCGGGCGTAGGTCAGGAGAGAAGAGAATCGTTTGGAGAAGAGGAACGGAGCGAAGTTGGGGATGATGAGGATACATATGTGGTCTCGCCGATTGAGGAGGAGCAGAAACCTTCGAGACCTGTATCTGGCATTAGTCCTTTGATATTTGAATGGGAGAATAGAGCAGATCAAAGAGGAGATTCAACGACTGGGATGATTGGGCAGGCAATATAGATTTGAGGGATTTACATCAGATACATCTAAGATGCAAGAAGAGAAACACATAGATCGAGTGTACATACTACTATTTATAGATTAGATACAGTTAGCTACTTCAATTTAACGCAGACTACCTTTACACTCAATGATATACATACATCCACATACTCTCGCAATAGAAGTTACAGTCCCGATCTACCTCACTACCATCCTTGTCTAATTTTGAATTTGATATATATATGTCTCAGTTTTGAACCCGTCCTCAACAAAAAACACAATCTCAAGCGGCTTTAGCTCACTTGGGAGAGCGCCAGACTGAAGTCCACTTCAGGAACCCAATAGATTCAATCTGTTTATCTGGAGGCACTGTGTTCGATCCACAGAAGCCGCATTCTGCGAGTTGAGGACCACCTTGACTTACATTCCCTTTTGCCATTTCTCCTTTTGCTCTGAATAGAATGGCAAAATGGCATTTTTTGGAGGTCTTGCTTGCAGTGAATGTGGGGAGAAAATCTCGTGTGAAAAAGGTGGAGATGAAAAATAGGGTAGCTCGGTTCGTGTGAGACTTCTAAGTGGGGAGAAGAGGGGTAGGCGAATCGGTATTCTCCTTTCTTTTGCCGAGGATATTTATCGTAGCGTCGTACTTTGTAGATAAAGTAACTAAGTGGCCTGGGTTGGATTTTGGTATTTTTGGATCTTTTTCTAGAGGTTTGGATGGAGTCGGTTCTTCTGTGTTGGTATTGTGGTTTATTGTGAGTAGTCATGTTTTTGAAGTTTTGTTCTAGCTTCACGGGATTGACGTGCGATGGATGCTATCATTTGAGAAATATGGAACTGCAGTCTTCAATTGCTGGAGTTTCATTACTTGGTATCTACCATAATATCCCATCTAGGCTATATAAAATCGCCCTTAATATCTCAGGCATGGGATAATACAGGCGTTGTGGAGGCTATGACGTTGTAGCTAAACCCTCGGAGGCTCTGCTTTTGGCATCCCGAGTGAGCCTTTACAGTTGAGGGTGATGATGTTGGGAGAAAATGTCAGATACATAGGTCTACGAGCTGGCTAGTTGATGAGCCATTCAGGTGGAAAGGTTTAAGTTGAATGTCTGAGTTGAATCCAGAAATTGGGATTGTATCATTCGAGACAGAAGGTCAGGTAGGAGAAGATAGCCTCAATTTCTCAATATCTATTGTTTTACTCATCTGGCGGGATATAATCAGGTGCCTGCTATGAGAGCTTGGTTTGTTATATCTCGGGATAAGGGGTCTAATGTTTTCATCATCGATTAGAGCGAGACAATGATTGAGCCACAGGCCTGTTGTATTTCCATTACGGTTATCCAAAGCATCTCCCGACTTCGTGCCTGGCAAAGAACACATGTGGAAGTCATGGATACGGTTCACTGGAGTGATGAAGTTCATTGGAAAAATGACTCGGAAGAAGTAAGTAGCGTGAGGATAAATCCTTAAAATGGCCCTTGCCCAAAGTATAAAACTGCTGTCTATATGCATTGAATGTGAAAGTTGAAGTTGGTAATTTTACAATGGCACAACTTCATTCTCACACTTCTTTGCCATTCACGTTGCAAGTCACGACGCTTTACCATGGAAAAGAATTCTGATCATCTTTTGCCAATCTTTAAAACAGCATGCCACAGATCTTTTTTCTAATCTCAAGGTGAGTACAAAGCTCTTGATGACGAACCAGATCCCAACCACCCGCAACATCAACTGGGTGACGCATTTAGAGCTACTCACCATTAACACGCATGCGAACCCTGAATGTTGAAGACGAGATGGAACTATCAACCAGAACGAAGAGAGGCTTCGTAAATAAGACTTCCTAACCATTAGAGGTCGTCGATATAGGCTGGCAAAGACCTAGTAATTGTCTCTTCATCCACCCACATAAAAGCAACAGCAGTGTACGTGAATTATTCCAAGCGCATGTATTTTTCAAACGACAAAACATATTCTTGCCAACGACTCTTGATATACATCTATCCAAACACGTTTTTCCACATATATCATTCAAACGGTGTTTGCCATATCAAACATGGATAACTGTGGGTTGTCGGTCTTCAGTGCATGTCGTCCCCCACCTTCTGATGAATTGATGTGGGTCTTTTGAAATCTTGCATCTATATAACAAACTATGCGATTTGTTCAGCATCAAACATCCCTCGTGGCGCAATTGGCTAGCGCGTTCGACTGTTATGTGAAGCAACTCATCCGTACAGATAAATCGAGAGGTTCGTGGTTCGACCCCACGCGAGGGAGTTTCTCTTTTGTTTTTTTGCACCGACATGCGACGATTGACATCTGCATAATCGAATAAGCTAGCTTTTTGAGGAAATCATTAAGTTAAGGAATTTGCTGAGCCATTGGTTGGTTGTATGAGCAAAGACAATGGCTAGGAAAATAAGGGTAGAGAGGGAGACGTAGAAAGTTTTGTTTGAATTTTTAGATTTTATCCTCCCCATTGAACAACAATTCGCTCGTCAATATCGATCAGCGATCCATTCGTTCTAATCTTCTTGAACCTTTCTCTAGTACAATGGTTGGTGCTGGTTCAAGCCCACCAGAGTGAGAGGTCCGTCTCCGTATTCTGCTTCTGCTTCTTACGTTCCTTGGTCGACGCGAGATGGAGAGAAGCATGAGAAATCATACCTTCGGAGATAGGGTTGCTATCTCAATCTTTCGCGAAGGATCGTGCTTTAAAATGCCGCAAAGCCGTGAAGAGATAGATGTGCATGCCGAGAGCCCTATTGGCAATCGCAGTCTTGACTGGGACGGCAATCTTTTGCCCATGCCGGAACTGGCCATTTGATATCCTACTGCGTGTGTAGGTTTCAATGTTTTGCTCTCATATCCGAATCCACATGCCTCCTGCCTCCTAGACTATTCGTAGCCAGAAAGTACGTTCAGAAATCGGAGTCAGAGTCCTCCTTACGCTCTGCTGCCCGATTGTTGTTTCCTTTTGTTTGCCCCTGTCCCTGTTGTTGTTGCTGTGCACTCCCCGCGATTGTCTCTTCTCCTAAAACTTTGCTTGCAGCCATGAATCTATATTATTAAGGAAATTGTTAGCCTTATTCCTTATGTAGAATTCGGTTTGATGAATCTGAGAAACAGTAAACTTACAATCCTCCATGATAAGCACCCAAGCCTCGAATAGACTCAGCTTGTATACTAGTATTTCGTAGAAGATTCTCAAGATCACCAAGGTTGGCAGAGAGTTGTGCGAGCTGTGCGTGTAGATGAGACTGGAGTTATTAGTTAGTATTGTTGGATGCGTTGTTTTGAACGAGACGAAAGCTTTGATCAATAGAATATGAAAGTGAAAATGAAATACTAATAGAGTATCTAGAGGGGCTTGGGAATCATACCAGCTGTCGAGGTTTGGTACTACTACTGGGTGCAGCGGAAAGACGAGGTGCACCGCCGCCGGGAAGTCTAGATGACATCGTTGTAGGAACTAGATGGGGAAAATGCGATATTGAGTGAAGAAGTCAAATGGAGAAATCCCAAAGATTCGAGACACCCGATAAGTCTGTGGTTGCGCAGGAGGTGGTTTGGACTGGACCTATGGAGGGGTAGATAATTATCGAGGAAAGACTTGATCCGAGTTACCACAACACTCTTATTTGTGGTAAAGGCAAATGTTATTTATCTATCATATGACTTTGAGAAATAAGGGACGTTTTGTATTATCTTTCAGTCTGAGGTCTTGAATTGTTTGTTATATTGCACAGCAGTAAGTTGCGTGTGTTTGGAAGAAAGCACCTTGTAAACAAACATATGGGTGTGCACGGGCCATGGTGATTTTGTACAAATGTACGAGTATTATTGGTATTTTATTATTGCAGTTCCTCTAAACCACTTTCGAGAGTGTGAAGATCAAACGATCGATCTCATTCTCCGTGTAAGACACTGCATGATCCTCGAATATAGACCGGCCAGATCAAGACTTGCTGGACTGCTCTCCAAACTATTAGACTGACCAGTTGATCAGACTAACCTTTCGTTATTCCTCACGAGTCCACCAGTCGTGTTGACCTTCTGTTCAATAAACTGCCAGACAATGTCATTGAATCCATAAAGATCCGCGGCCCAAACTTGTTCAATGAGCGGACCTAAAGAACCCGATGGCAGAGAGTAAGGGGTTGGTGACTCGTAATTACGAAAATATGATGGATGGTCATCAATGTGTGTGAACTTCGAAGTGCCAAATACTTCTTCAATCCGTTCGCGGAAGCCAAATCGCGAAGTCTCGCCGTAATACAAATTTGGCGTACCAAAGTAATTTCCATGGAAATCAAACACCCGGCAATTTGGCCCAAACAAGTGCATGGGACGACCTTCGTATCCAAGGGCAACGTACCTACAACCTTCTAAGCAGACAGCTTTCATATCGTTTCTGATAGCGGCATGAGCTTTACTAAACAGTCTCAGGTATGATATGTTTACAGGGGATTTCATACCACCTGTAAACACATTGTGCAATTCATAAAAGTATGAATCCAAAGGATCAGCTTTAAGGTGTGGAACATCGCAGTCAACGTTGAAGTATATACGGGCTTTCGAAGGTTCCGCAGCAAAGCAAAGCTTGTAGAATCTCAGAGTCTCATTTCGTGATTCTTTGCAGACGTGAAGGCCAGTAGGAATGGTGGCATTGCTCATGAAATGACCCTCGATAAAGAAGATGCGGATCAACCGGGGTCCAGGGAACGATAATCTCCATATTTTAAGACGAAGCTCGAGGGGGATTCTTCGAAATGGATGGAAGGTATCCTGTGGGGTCATTGCTGATGCCATGTCGTTGTTTGTTGTTTGTTTTTTGGTAAACAACTTTGGTGATTGAGTCACTTGAGGATCGAGGTTGAAAGTTTTGTTTTCAAAACCTCAGAGAAGGGATGGTGGGCTTTGTATAGGTACCTATGAAAAGAAATCTCATAGGCCGTACAATACAAACGAGTGAATTACCAACCAAGCTAAGCCATGACATAACATGAATTCACTCATTATGATTCCACTAATCACTACACCACATTACGAGCTCCAATGGGCCGTCATTTTGTCGGTGACATACGGCGTCTTCAATCAGTTGGTTGCCCGTCCCATCCCTATACTCCTAGTGCTCTGGAACTTACGGATCAAACCGGCAACAATCAACATACGATAGGTGCCTGCATTACTACTGTCCAACACCACATCGTCAGGTTCAATTTCTCAGAAGATTCAATAGTCAGAAAGCTTTTCGACATCACATTCTCTACAACACAGAACTCTCATCCGATCCACTTTCGATCGAAATTATACCACTCGCAATCTCATCCCCCATGGCACCTCTATGGTGTGAGACCAACCTTCAACTAAACCCTTATAATTATTCCTCTCGGGTCATTCATGTACAAGTGTAACTCCAAGTTTTTACACGGCCATTTCAGAAGATAGAGGATTATATCAAGACATGGAAAGGAGGTGACTGCTCTGGTGATTGAACCTCGAGTTCCCAAGCATCCAAATACCAGCAAAAGTATCGAAACCACATTACTCCCTTCAAGATGGGCCCCGGTACTTTCTACCCGGCATATCTCAAACTTCCCACTTATTTCCCCTCGCTCTCCCCACCAACTGCAGGTCTATCCAAATACCAACATCTGATATCACTCAGCTTCCCCTCGTCGATCCTTCTCGAATAGAACTACTCGTATCACAAAATCATTAGTCTTCTCCCCCTCTCTCTAAAACACCAATCTTCTTTCCGCACAAGAAACTCACATTTTCAAGAACTTCCCCCTTTCTCGCTCCGACTTTGGCTATTATCCTCTCGCTTGCTTTATTTCTCGGATCGATTTTTGCCACAAGGTGTGGGATGTGAGATCTTTCTATGTGCGGAGATGACTGTGTTAGTATGTCCTGTTTCGTTTCTCTGAAGAAAATTCTTGGATTGATTATGGGTGAAGGAATATTTCCCCCGCCCTAAACATGCTATCTACATTACAGACGACGGAAATGAATAGGAACGAAAAGAAGAAAAAGAAAACATACCTTCCATCCCCCAATAAATCTTCAAAAATTCAGTTACTCCCCACGTAGCATACCCATTACCATAATAATCGGGATTCACACAATAGCCCATTTCGAGACCCTCGGGCGATGGGCGGTTGGTGCCGACGAAACCTACGCATTTGGGTCGGTCTGGGAGATGTTAGTTGGGGAAGGAGAAGTGATGAAGGTGAAAAGGAGAGATGGCGAGGAAGATGTGTATGAGGATCAAGATATCAAAGGGCTGCTTGAAAAAATGGGTATGAGATAAAGCTTCAAGCTTTTGAAGATTTCACGAGATCAACTCTTCAAGAATTCAATGTCGGAGTATGAGTTTAAACTTCAAACACCCTTACTCCTTCTATAGAACCGACAAATTTCCTCACCACGCCAAATCATAGAACCATTTCTCACCTGATCCTTACTCAAGGATCGAAGAGAAAATCTATCCTCCAAGCCCAACTTGAGATTTTCAACTATCTACTGAGCAATGATATTTCATCCTCGAAGCTCAATAATTTAACTATATCAGAAGCTACCCTGGAGACTTCCAGATTGCGCTTGCCTCCCTCTCCTTTTTTGTTCAATTCTCGCGTAGAATTAATCCCCTCTCTGACATTCCCATCCCCCCATCCTCATCTCCCACCAAAGAAACTCCAACCCGTCACTCCTCACTCATCACTCATCACTCCACACAAAACCAAAACGAAAAAACTCCCAAAACAAAATCCCCAAACAAACTCCCAAAGCAAGACCCCAAAGAAAAAAAACACTCACCACCCTCCCCCTCCCCCTCAACCAAAATCGCAAACTTATCAATCCCCACCGCCTCTCCCCCCGGATTCTTCTCCGTCCTCGGTAAAATATATTTCAAAAACTCCAATGCTTCTTCTTTTGTTTTCATAGGGGCTTGTCTTCTATATTCCCCCCGCTTCGTTAGAATCAGATTCCTCATTCCCCCCATCCCTCCCTCATTCTTTTATACGGGAAGAAAAAACAAAAAAGGGACAATAAGAAAAGGAAGAAGAGAAAGTAGACCGACGAAGAAAAGAAAACATACGACCAAATAACTCCCCTCTCCTCTCTCCAAATCTCCCAGAAATCATCGAGATGTTCGGTTGGAGTTAGGGGGACCAGTTTAAGATTTTGATGGGGTTTTAGAGGATTGGAGGGTGGGAATTGGGTTTGAGTAGTGTTTGAGTCCATTGTGTGTGTAGATTTATTTGTGATGAGAATGGTTGGAGTGGTTGGCGATTGGATGGCGGATGGTGGATGGTGGATGGGATTGGCGAATGGGGTTTGAGAGTGGGGGTGGATGTAGATGAGGGGTATAAAATGACTTGAATGGATTGAGATTCTGATCAAGTATTTTGAGGGTAGCAGGAATGGGAGACGAAGATGAGAACAAGGTTGAAGAACAAGTCAGATTGAGAGATAATTGACAAGTTGACGCATACAAATAATGAAGCACTCTATATGTGATTCTATTATGACACATACGGCGAGCACCGACGTCACCATGTAAGATTTTGGTGCCAAAATTCAGAATATGTAACGAGAAGTGGAACTTGCATTGCACAACTAAAGGAAAGATGTTGATTGAGAAATCTGTAATTTCTTATTTGTTTTCGATATCGAAAAGTATTATACATGTTCCGTATTCCATATCCGGATCGCTTGTTACACTTTCGTCCCTACCCCTACTTACAATTCCTCATTCATATAAGGAATCAATCTCTCCATCAGATCTTCCACCTCCAATTCCTCACCAGCCCACATCTCTCCGCCAGGAGTCTTGGGTGGAATTAAAACGGAGCTCAAAACATGAATAACGCCATCCTTTGCAATACCATCTTGAACACTGACGCTGCTGAATCCATTGATTCTGATAGTAATGAAACCACCAAATCTGCCAACATCAATACTTAGACTCTTATCTTTCAACAAGGTAGGCAAATCAACGTGAAAATGTCCCTTGGGGATGTCCGCAGTATCGATTCCATCAACCTCATTGATGCCCCGATCATCAGACTTGGCTTTGTAGAAAGCATCGGAGTAGAGAGTTTGATTTGCAACAACGTGATATTTGAGAAGAGCTTTTAGGTATTTCTGACCATAATTGCTGAAGAGGAAAGCATTGATTCTAGGACCAAGCTTTTGGAATGCCCAGTTACTGGGTGCGAATAATGTTCCTCCTGTGTGATGAGATGCAGCAATGGCATCGAAAAGACCGGTTTTTTCGAGACCAAGTTGGAGAGTTGAAAACTCGCCAGGAAGGAGCTCGATGATCTTAAGGGCTGGGGGAGGTGGCAGGAGAAGTGAATCGACGCCGTGGATTACTCCGTTTGTACCGAACTATTGAAGTTCAGGTTAGTATTATGTTAATATGGGAAGAGGCGATGGAACATACAATATTGACAGCAATGACTCTGCTGTAGAAGTTGACGGCTAATCCCTTCAAACCCAAACCGACACGAAGACGTTGAGGTTCGTCACCGAGACGGCCTTCCTTCAATGCGGTCGGAATAGTATGCGAAACGAGGACACGACCAGCAGGATAGAAATCCGGAGATACGTGATATTCAAGGACGGCCTTGATCAATTCCTTTGAAGGTTTCTTGTGATGTTCTGGAATCTTCTCAAAGGCCTTGTCAGTTGGTGCGAATACGGTGTAGTTTGCCGCCGTGCCGTTCAAAGCATCAACAAGATCTGGATATTCGTTGATAAGCTCAGCAAGTTTGGTAGTGTACTTGCTGCTAGCAATCAATTCATATACAGTCTTGTTAGGCTTTCCATGACCGTGATGTGGGTTTTTTGGGTGGTGAGGAGGTTTTCCATGGTGTGGAGGCTTCTCATGAGGGTGATCGAAAATATCGATATCCTCAACGGCAGAAATGGCAGAGTCTAACCAGCCGGATATATCAAACTTTGACATTGAGTGGTGACATTCGATGACATTCTGGGCCTTTTGACCGGCCTCGGAAAGGGTATCGATAGCGTTGTCAAAGGCATTCTCGCTGAATGCAACTGCATCTTTCAAGGATTTTTCGGCATGGGAGATAAAGTTGTCCTTGATTTCTGGGATTCTATCAAGCCATGTCTTTGAAGACTTCTGAGATTCGACAATGATCTGGTTGGTTATCTGTTCGTCAGGAATAACGAAGGCGGTAGCAACTACCGCAAAGGGCAAAAGAGTAGTTGAGAACCTCATATTGATATGATTGATAAATGTAAAAAGAGAAATGAGGCGGGAATAAAGGAAGTAGATATAAATATAATGGAATGCTGTGATCAGGGCCAAGGTACTAGTGATTCAATGACGCCTTCTCACGCCGCGTAAATGATTTGAAACAGAGACAACTCGGCTCGGGTTCGATTCGTTTGCTGAGAAGGTTGAGGCGAAGGCCAACCAACCAGTCAATTTTGCAATGAAACTTTGATCAATATGATGCGGATATATCAAGAACACCGACAGAAGTCAAACATGAGACACCGATAGATGTCGCAAAGCCAATTGATATATATTCCTCTCCAAAGTCAAGCTTTTGCTTGCTTGTCAAGTATTGTGTTGTTTCAATACGCGTATTCGTACCAAAGAAGGATGGATTAGAAGGCAGTCAATGCTTGCGTGTTTCTTTGTAAGAAGACGAAATCCATAACATCATCGATCCAAAGAGAAGGAGGAGGCGTTATGATGCTTTGTTGCTTGATGCAGCTTGCCAGCCAATCATTCTTGTTCATTGGACATTTACCCCTCGATCGGAGGTTGTGAAGACCGACGGACAAGGTGTGAAATGAAAGTCCGCTCAGTCCGATGAAGATATGGTATGACGAATCATTAACGATACGATAGCTGGTAGGCACGTGGTAGGTATATCGTAGATGAACGTGGTATTATGTGTAAGATTTTATAATGAAAGTTGTGCAAAGATTGAGTGGTCGTGGTCTCTCATATAGATGGATGTCTGGCGAGTCTGATAGGAAACAGGAAACATCGGACGGGAGGCACGGAAGCTACTCGCCTATTTAATGTAAATAGTTCTAGCTGGTGTCGTGGGTATGTAGCGTTCAGTATCCAAGTTGCAGAAGTGGAAGAGGTTGATTTATTCTAATACTTGTAATCTTACAAGGTTTTGGCTGTCTACGATACACCCGTCGCCGTTCTTGATATCATAGGCTTCCAAGGTTAACAAGATCTAATCTGCAGACACGCTTGCGGTTCAAAAAGCCTGATAGAATCTGGCTCGAAGTTGCTTACCACCTCACGGACACTACACTCTCTTCACCTCACCATCATCGAACGATAACGATAAGAGGATGCAATTGTGGGGAACAGCATAGGAAACACAAAATCGATCAATTCTTGCCTGGTCCTGGCATCTAACACATCTGGAACACCTTCTACAATAGCTCCAACCATCTCATCGTTTTCTGGAGCTTCGTTTGGCCCGGTCTAAGCACAATCAATGAAACTTCATCATCAATACCACTTCTATCATGATTATTTCAAGCTTCAAGACTTTTCACACTCAGACTCAGGGAGTAGGTAGCTCCACAACTTGAGGCCTCGCGCCTCGTAGCAGGGTTACGAAACAAGCTTTTCCACCATATTTCCCGTGGAGCCACCATGACGCTTGGCGGAGCTTTTTCGATCTCAAGCAGTCAAACCTCACCATGAATCAATCCATGCTTCTATGAATAGCATGTGTAGAAGACCACTTCAATTGGATCAACAAGTATTCATCAGGTAAAAGAAACTCTCTTTATGTGGTTTTTGGGTGGTTAGTGGCTGGTGCTTGCCCGTGCTTGCAAGCTACGTTGAGTTAAATCCATCAGATGTCGTCATCTTCATTAAGGTGCTTCTGCTAAGTGAGTGAATTTGTTCGATGCCTTTCAATAAAGCTGCTGTGTTACCTACCAGCTAGGAAATTGACATCTCAAATCATTCTCCCTTCTCACCATTCTCAATACTATTAATATACTATCAACTTGCTATTTTCCCCATACTTCTCTAGAAATTTTAAATACTATACCACCATTGCAACTTTCAATCTAACATAATCACCATGTCTCTCGCACGCCATGTAAGTTGACATTCTCCCAAGCTTCCCATGCTAAGCTTCCCATACTGACAGTATCTTCAATTCAGGTCGACCCAGATCAGATTATTCAGAATCTACAGAGTATGCATATGAAAGAAGCCGGTCAAAAGCATGTACACACCAAAGGAGGAACTTCCCATATTACCCCATACTCGACTCGATATGCTTCCAAACAAGAAATCTCCAAGTTCGAAATACCTCAAGATGGAGCACCAGCAGATGCTGTTCATCAAATGTTGAAAGATGAATTAGATCTTGATGGCAGACCTAATTTAAACCTAGCAAGGTGTGTTCAGTTGCTCAGATCATTAGAGGAACGTGAAGCCGGTTGAAAAATGCTAATCTCGCCATCAGTTTCGTGGGTACATACATGGAAACTCATGCTGAACAATTAATGTTCGAGAATATTTCAAAAAATATGTCCGATGCAGACGAATATCCAGCAATGATGCAAATGCATACACGTTGTGTTTCTATTATCGCTAATCTTTGGGGAGCACAAAAGGGAGAGAAAGCTATTGGATCTGCAACAACCGGTTCTTCAGAAGCTATTCATCTTGGTGGTTTAGCTATGAAGAGACGTTGGCAAGAAAAGCGTGAGGCTGAAGGAAAAGATAAATCCAAGCCAAATATCATCATGGGATCGAATGCTCAAGTAGCTCTTGAGAAATTCGCCAGATACTTTGAGGTTGAGGCTAGAATTCTCCCTGTTTCTGAAAAGTCAAATTTCAGACTTGATCCGGAATTGGTCAAGGAGAATATCGATGAGAATACTATTGGTATCTTCGTTATTTTAGGAAGTACATACACCGGTCACTATGAACCAGTTGAAGAAATCTCCAAGATTTTAGATGACTATGAAGCCAAGACTGGAGTTGATATCCCAATCCATGTCGATGCTGCGTCCGGAGGCTTTGTAGCTCCATTCACCCATGCTAAAGCTGGTGGTCCAAAGTGGAACTTTGAGCTCCCACGAGTAAAATCCATCAACACATCCGGTCACAAATTTGGTCTTGTGTACGCAGGTGTAGGCTGGATCATCTGGCGCGATGAGTCTTACCTTCCCAAACATCTTGTCTTCGAACTCCACTATCTAGGTGGAACAGAAGAGTCTTACACTCTTAACTTTTCTCGACCAGGTGCTCAAGTCATCGCTCAATACTATAACCTCATCCATCTTGGATTCAATGGTTACCGTCAAATCATGGAAAATTGCATGAGCAACGCCCGTCTCCTTTCCAAATCTCTCGAAGCCACTGGATGGTATACATGTGTCTCCGACATTCACCGCAAGAAAGGTGAACACACATTCCAAGGCCTAAGCGCCCCCGTCTTCAGCAAAGAAGACGAAACCTCCGCTGATTACAACGCCGGTCTCCCTGTCGTCGCCTTCCGTTTCTCAGACGAATTCAAGAAA